GGCCCCTCGTCCCAGCATCCCGACCCAGGCCCAGGCCCCCGGCCCCTCCCTCGGCCTGCTTCCCAAATAGGTCCCAGTCCCGGCCTGGACACCAGCGAATGCCCAGATCGAGGTCCCAACCCAGGCCCCCCCTCCAGCCTCAGACCCTGGCGGGGCCCCCTTCCCCGCCTCTGCCCTTGTTCCACCTCCTGTCACAAATCCCCGCCCCACCCCGGTCCCAATCCCATCCCCAGGGTTTGCTTAAGCCCAGGGCCCAAACGCTGCCCTCACTCCAGTCCCCATCACAGTCTCTTCTTCTATCCCAGCCCCTGCCCCTTTGCAAGCCCCGGTGCCCAGCCCAGCCCAGCCCATTGTCTCAGCCTTTGCCCTCTGCTCTGTGTTTACCCGCGTCTCTCCCACCACCCACCCCTCTCTCTCACACCCTGCCCCTCTCCCCGCCTCGGCTCAGGTCTGGGCTCCAGCTGCCTCCAGCCCTGTTGCTGCTGTTGCTGTTTTCTGTCCTTGGCCCAGGGGCTGGTGAGTGCAGAAGCAGCGAGGACTGAGGCAGGGACGGGGTTTGGCAGGGAGGGTGGACTGGGGGGATGCGGGAGAGGTGGGGCCTTGGTAACTAGAGCCTTGGGGAAGAAGTGGGGAGAATCAGGGAGGAGAGAGTTCTTACACATCTGAGAGGAGTTGGGAGGGTCAGAAGAGAGGTAGTAGCTACTGTGGACTCGAGGCTCAGCAGGTCCTAGGACAGACAGCCAAGGTTTCCTTTCCCGGTGTCCGTTCTGACCCCATTTTGACACTTGCTTTTCCAAGGAAGTCTTGCTCCTGCTCATAAAGTTTGACGGGAGAGACATATTCCCACACCAGACAGCCTCTAGTCCGCTGTTGGGAAGAGTTAGCCTAAACTCTTGAGATAGTAGGCATGAAAACAGGGTTAAAAAAGCAGTTTTGAAAACAACATGTAGCAAACAGATGGACATGGGTTAGTTGCCATTATAACGAGTTTTCTTCTTGTCATGAGTTTTGTTCCAAATAAGCTGGATTTGCCTAGGAATCATTCCTGAAACTTTTTTGTTTGTTTTCATTAATCCTCACCTGAGGATATTTTCCCATTGATCTTTTGGAGAGAGTGGAAGAGAGAGGGAGAGTCAGAGAGAAACTACAATGTGAGAGAAACACATTAATTGGTTGCCTCCTGCACACGCCCCGACCAGGGCCCAGGCTGGGGAGGAGCCTGCAACCAAGGTATGTGCCCCCTTGGCTGGAATTGAACCCAGGACCCTTTGGTCCACAGGCCGATGCTCTATCCACTGAGCCAAACCAGTTGGGCAGTTCCTGACACTTTTAGGGCAGGGTTGAAACTCAGAGGCCATTTTACAGATGGGGAAACTGAGGCTCAACAGGGGAGCGATTTGCTCAAGGTCATACGGCTTGTAAATGGCAGTATTGGGGCTAGAAAACAGTTTACTAATTACTACCCCACACTAGTTTTTTTCACTGCAATATATGCCTAATAGGAAAACAAACCCAAGTGGGGAAAGGCTCAAACACAGTCTGTCCTTCCCCCTGTCTTCCCACAAGGAGGCTTCATCACAACTCTTCCTCATTTGCCAGTTGTCAGCCTAGGGCTACCATCCAGCAAGAAAGTGATTTGGATAAGAGAGGGAGAGGTCCAACTTCTTAACAGGTGGGATGTGAGAGGAGGAGAGGGTCCTGGTCAGAGGAGTTGTGCCATAAAGACGGTCCCATCCTAAGGAGATGGCTATGGTCTTCATGCCCCAAACCTCAGCTACCTCCGGCGGTTGGCATTCTAGAAAGGATGGAAATGTGCCTGGGGGAATCTTTGGCACTAATAACTAACAAAGTAGCTGGGGTTGGGGGCTGGGTTTCAGTGAGTTCTGGGGACCTGGTTCAGTGTACAGTCTTGAGGAGATCAATGCAACCAAAGGCCACTGCCCCAAGCTCACTGGTGTCTGGAACTTACAGGTCTGAGTGTATACCTGAGGGATCTGTGGGAATGCTGGGCACATGCAGTGTGTGTACATGACCGTGTGTTGGTGAGTGCAGGCACATGTATGTTGTATGGGGTGCAGGTGAGCCTGTGTGTCTTCTGAGTATGTTATATTGTTGTGTAAGGGGAGGGTACGTGTTGTGGCCCACGCATGTTCTCTTCAGCTCTACCTGCTCCTGTAGACAGAGCACTGAAGTGTTAGCTTCCCAGTGGATTGTTCCCTGTTCGGATGCCTCTCATAACACATACAAGGAATCCATCTGCCCCCAGCCTGACTCCTTGAAGGAGGGCGGTAGCCAGGTCAGTTTTTCAGTTTGGGTGAGGGGGAGTCCCTACTGTTGAGCCCAATTCATAGCTCCCATTTTTGTCATCATGGCTTCTTTGTTCATGAGTTCACTAGGCAAGCAAGAGCTGACTCGGGGAGGAGGCTGGCTGACAGCCCCAGAGCAGTAGAAAGTGGAGAGATGTGGTTTAAAGCACGCTTGTCCAGAAGCGGGTTTAAGTGGTTTGGGGAGAATTGTAATGAAGTTGGAAAAGAGTGCTGCATGGGCCCGACTGCAGGCAGGGCTGCCTTAGTGCTGTGAATAGTTACTGCCTGGGTAACTGTGGCCGGCCCTGCAGGAGTGCTCTGTGACCTAGGTCCTGGGGGGCGTGATACACTTTGCTTGAGGAGGGGCAGCCAGTGTCACAGGACCATAGCGGCACCATCGGTCTCAATACGTGCTTATTGTTGGCTTCAGTCTCATTTCAGGAATGGGAGGTACCACCTGGGTCTCCTGGTCCTTGAGCTCTGACTGCATTTGCATAACCCAGACAGGCCTTGCCATTCCAGAAAGTGACCTTTTTTTCCTACCTAGTGCTGTCGTTAGCAGGGCCAGCCTCAGCCTCTGTGTGTCTGCACGTGTGTGTGTGTGTGTGTGTGTGTGTGTGTGTGTGTGTGTGTGTGTTTCAGGTGGTGGAGGAGAATCACCCGAGCTCCGTTTGGAAGTACTGGGGCATCCAGGACAGATTCATCTGAGCTGGCCTGGGGCCTTCCTCATGCTTCCTGTGGGACACAGCTCTGTAGGCTCAGGTGAAAGAAACCCCAAACCAAAGCTTGGAGTGAATGGGGCCGTGCCATGTTCGTTTGGTTCGTGTGCTCGTTTGTCCATTGTTTCCCAAAGACCATTAGCTGTTTTTCATGAGCAGCTCTCTGAGGGTCTGCTCTGGGGCCTGGCCAAGATTTCTTCCTAAGAATAGCAATGGCTCATGTGACGACCCATCCTGGTACCAGCCTTGGGGAGGAGCCTCCCTGCCCCCAGCAGAGGGTGCTCCAGAGCCCTGCTTTCTTGTGACAGGAGATTGGGCTATTCAGTTCTTGGCTTTCTGCCTTCCGGTTGTCATAGCCAGGACTCCTAGGGAACCTATCTTCCCATAGTTGGTTCATTTCCCTTCATCCCTCTTACTTTGCCACTGCTCTCTCAGTGCTGCTCTGTGAGCCTCTGGTTCCTGGGCAGTGCTCAGCTTGCAAGGTGGCACGTCTTCCTTGCTGACAGTAGAGACTAACCAAGTGGTCTGAACTGGACAGACTAGTCCTTGGGTGTATCCATGGCCTTTGAAGATGAGCACAGGCCCATGTAGGGCCAGTGGCCTCCACTCCTCTGCAGGGTAACTCTTGAAGTTGCTGCAGCTCAGTGGGGTCAACCTTAACCAGGGTGCATCCTTCAGCCGCCTCCTTTTCCCAGATGCCTCTTTCTCTGTTATTTCAAAGACCTCATTTTTGGAGTTAAATCTCCCATTTCCAGAGAGGGAGATTGTCAGACTAGGTAAGCCCTGCGGGTATTTACTATTTGGCTGAAAACTGCCCCGACCCCTGAAGCTGTGATTTCCTAACTGTCTCACCTGCATTGGAGGCATCTTCTGGCCTTCTCTGGGGCCAGCCTTAAGTCTCCAGGCTGTCAGATTCCCCAGAACTTTGCCTGCCATTTGGGACTCTGCTATCCAGCTGAGCTACTGGGTTATTTTCACTGTTACAGCAGTCCTAGCTGCTGACACCAGACTTTCCTATTCACCTTGGCTTTACTCCTAACAGCCATGATCAGGTATCTTAGCATTTCATTTAGAGACAACCCTCCCCCCTCCCCTCCTGCCCTGCATATGAATATTCCCAAGAGGTTTGAGATTCCACAAGGTCGCCAGCTGACTGCCTCCCTGGGGCTCCCTCTGGGAAGCCCCTCTGGCTGCTTATTATGAGCCCTAGAGGGCCTGGTGACTCCCTTTCCTCCTCTCCCAGGAGCTTTGTGGTGGCCTGCCAGCTCCTGTCCTTGCCTCTGCCACCCAAGCAGGCCCCTTGCAGACTCACCACACTTTCCCCTTCCCCCTCCTGCCCTGAGCCAGTATACAGACAGCTCTTGTGAAGCTTCTGAGGATTTTTACTCTCCTGACCACAGGGGAACAGAAGGGGGAAGAAAATAAACAAGGAAGTTACACAGTTTCATGCTGACTCCCGAGCCCCACAGGTGGAGCTCTAGCCAGCTCAGTGGCCTAAGAGCCCGTGCCAACACACACACTCGCATGCTCACTGTCCACACCTCTGTTTTGTTAGGCTTGGTAACAGCAGAACAATGACTCCTAAGTGAGGGGAGCTGTGGGGTCATATAAAGGGCCCTGGTGTTGGATTTATACAGATCTAGGTTTAAGCCTCAGTTCCCTTATCTATAAAAACAGGTCATTTTTTCAAGGTCATTGTAAGGATTAAAGCAGATGATGGTTAGGGCAGCAGGAGACCCAGTTCCCGTCTCAGACAAGAGCATTTGTGGAGTTGGTGCTATTGGTGAGGAAGACTGGTGTGCCTGCTGCTTAACGGAAATGCCCTCTATCCTACCTGCCCCTTTCTTTCTCGCCTGCTCCCCAGGAGGCCTCTTCCTGACCGATTACTCCACCTGCTCACCCCGCAAGCTGAGTCCTTTCCGCTCCTTTGCCAGCACCGAACTCTTCCACTTCCATGTTCCTGAGGACACATTCCTGGCTGTTTGGAACCTCATCATCTTCAAGGAGCAGGGGGGATCCTTTGGGGACCACTGCCCAGACCAAAGTGTGACTGTGTGAGTGTCTGAGTTGACCTCCTGACCCTCACTTCTAACCCCAGACCGCTTTCCAAACGGTATCTAAACTGACCCCGGCCCCTGACCCCTGACCCTTGTTGAGGTTGCAGTATGACTGAGTGAGGGCCAAGACCTCTGTTTCATGATTACTTCGAGACCAAAATGTGACTGTGTGAGTGCCTGAACCGACCTTTTACCCCTCTGTGCCGATCCACTTTGTTGTATGTGTCAATATAGGGCAGTGATGGCGAACCTTTGAGCTCGGCGTGTCAGCATTTTGAAAAACCCTAACTTAACTCTGGTGCCGTGTCACATATAGAAATTTTTTGATATTTGCAACCATAGTAGAACAAAAGTTACACGTGCTTAAGAAGTAACCAGACACCCAATCCAGTCAGCCTCAGAGCCTCTCTGTGTCACCAAGTAGATTCAAGAAAGAGTTAAGTTTTTCTCAAATGCCATCTCAAGAGTCTAGGACAGTGATGGTGAACCTTTTGAGCTCGGCGTGTCAGCATTTTGAAAAACCCTAACTTAACTCTGGTGCCGTGTCACATATAGAAATTTTTTGATATTTGCAACCATAGTAAAACAAAGACTTATATTTTTGATATTTATTTTATATATTTAAATGCCATTTAACAAAGAAAAATCAACCAAAAAAATGAGTTTGCGTGTCATAGGTTCGCCATCACTGGTATAGAGAATCTACTTATTTGCTGGTGATGAGTGACTGTTCTCCTTTCTTTTCCCCATTTCTCATCTCCCACCTCATTGCCTGCTTTCTTCCTCTCCTCATTCTGGTCCCCAGGTATTTCCGGTCTGGGGCACCCCCTGTCATCAATCCCCTGCACACACACTTCCCAGGGGACACGGCTGTGCCTGGGGTTTTCTCACTGACCCTCAGCTGGACACTGCCCAACCGCACTTCAGGCATCTTTAACGTCAGCAGCCCCTTACCTGGGGACTGGTTCTTGGCTGCCCACCTTCCCCAGGCCCACGGCCACATCTCTGTCAAGGTGGGTTGATGTTGTCTAGGGCAGGAGAGGTCAGAGCTGCTTCTCCATCTCTGCTGAATTCACCTCATGGTTACCTGGGACACCAGCCTTGTACCAGGATGGGAAACTGCATGAGGGTGGCTGGGATGGACCCTAGTTAGAGGCCAGCAGGTCACTTGGTGGGTCAAGACCTATATGAGGCAATTTGGGAACCTTAGGAGGACACGGTGGGTCCATGTAAGCTGAAAGGCAAGTTCAGAGTCTGCAGTCAGCCAGAGGCCCCGGCACTGCAGAGTACTGTCCCTTCCTGTTGGAAGCTACAAGGGTTAATCGAGGTGATCAGAAGCCACTAAGGACCAGTCAAATGCTGCTGCACAAACCCAAGATAGCCCCGCCGACTCTTGTAGGCTACAGCCCAGTCAGTCCATCTGGGAGAATGCATTCCTCTCCTATCATGATTTCAGCTCCCTTCACCCTCGGAAAGACCATGCAAGACCACTCTGGGTCAGGGAGGACCTTCCTGTTAAAAGGAGGCTTTGGCCAGCTGGTGTCCATCCAGACTGTTGCCCACCTTTCCTCCAGATATCTGTACTGATTTCATAGAGCAGAGGTGGTTAACATCTGAAGTGTATGTTCAAAGGTCAGAATGCTTTTCCCAGCCGGTTTGGAGGGGAAGGAAACGCCACAAAGGTTTCCTGCCACTCCTGGGTGTTGGGCAGACTTTCTCCTTGTAGTGATAGGATCGATAGTTTTCTTACTCCTGTCGGCGGGAAGGAAGGGCGTGATAAGCTGGTCATTGTCAAGAGTGGGATGGCCAAGTGTGTGTGGGCCAGTGGTAAGGACTGAGCATGAGCAGAGAGAGGACTTAAAGAACATGAATGCTATCAGGGTTCGGCCACTGAGAATTGAGAGGGACATAAATTCCCAATCAGGTGAAGATTTGATCTGGAGATCTCTCTCCAGGCTGAGTTCCTTGCCAGAAGGAGCTCTGTGGCTGTGGTAGACTCACCTCTCTTCCTCCTACCGTAGCTGAATGAGCTGAGAATCCCACAGGGACATGTGTACTGGTACTGCTGTTTTCAGAATGGGAACAAGGGCTGACGGAATGTCTGGAGGCCTCAGTGATAGGCTGTTTTTCCTGAGAAGGATGCACTAGAGAACTTGCTGTCAAAGTCTGGGAGCGCCCTGGATGAAAGCATGTTGGGCGCTCATCTGGGTTCTAGGTAGGTCTTGACTCCTGTCAGAACTAAGGGTTATTCTATTTGGAGGACTGTCTTAGGTCTTCGGTCAAATTCCAAAGAGCCAGTTCCTGATCCTAACTCTGATCCTGGACTCTCTTTGTGAGGACTGGCAGGGAAAATCTTTCTGAAGCTCTGCTCTGGTTATCCAAAAACTTTTCTGGGTGGTCAGGAGGAAATAGGGACCTAGGCCTGGGTTGATATTATGGGAGCTGAAGCCTAGTTAGGAGAGGTCAGAACCAGGTTTGGTTGACATACCCATTTGCAACTAGATATAGCAAGAGGGGCGTGGGGGACTTGGTACTGCAAGCTGGAGCCCTAGCAGCAGAGCTCCCTGCAGTGTGGTGAGACTAGAGAGAAGAGGGCACAGTTACACCTTGCCCATGAGACCTGGACACCATGAGAGATGTAGCTCTTCAGTTAGGCCTGTTCTAGAGGTTCAAGGGGTGAGGATGGGGAAGAAAGGATCATCTTTGTAGTCCCTCTGAGAATTTGACTACCTTTAGGAATCTTAAATGGGCTTCTAAGGATTCTTTAAGTTTTTTTGTTAATTCCCTAGATTCTAGCCTGTGGGTGGAGTATCCAGAACATTTCTCCAGGGCTCCATCTTCTCAAATTGCTTTTTCCTTGTTCTAGGTCTTGACTTCCTGTGAGGCTTGGTTATTGTGGGTTCAGGGATATCCCTTGGGTGGGGACTGAAAAGTCCTAGCAATAAGAAGGCAGGACTGTTTCTAGGGCCCTCCTTAGTTTTGGGGGTAAGCTCAGACCTTCCTTTAGACCTTAGTCCTTGAGTACCTGCTTTGTCCCAGGCCTTGGGTCGAGTGCTAGGGACACAGATAAATAAGACGTATGGTAGTGAGATATAAGAGGTGTTTTGAGAGGACAAAGGAGAGATGGCTAACTCAGCTTGTAGAGGTGGTCTTAGGAAACTGTTAGAAGGTGAGGCCTGAAGTTGAGAAGGCAAGGAAAGGCATTGCAGGGTAGGTGTAGCATGGGCTAAAGCTTGAGAGCTGTAGTGGTTCAGTGTGGGGTGGTTGTTGGGATGGGTGAGGGAGTGGAAGGGGTGAGCAGAGGCCAGATCATGAGGGATCTAGAAGTTTGAACTTTATCCTGAGAGCGATAGAAAACCTTAGGAGGTTGTTAAAGCGAAGTGACTTATCTGGTCCAGGCCACTGTCCTGAGCTCTGGTCACACACTTCTGCTAGCCAATGTGTCTGTGTTATTCACCACTGTATTCCCAGCACCCAGCACAGAGCCTGGCACATCGTGGGGGTGTGGCAAATTTTTGTTGCCCTTCTGCCATCTTCTCAAACTCATATTGTCCAAAACTGATCTCACTTCTCCTTTCCTCTCCTCTTTCTATCAACCTCTTCCATCTTGACCCATGCCCTCCATCTCCTTGCCTTTCCTGTCTCGGAACATGTGTTCATCCTGTGATGTCCAGCTGCCAGTCTGCCCTAAAGGGCTGGCCTTTGAACTGTGGGTAACATCTGGCACCCAAATGGCTCATTATGGGAAAGTTCTCCAAAATATCTGGGGCACAGTTCTCCTTGAATGCTTCCTCTCCCCAGTCTAAGATTTGAAAGTAACTGACAGCAGGTAAAATAATGAAAACCACGATAAGGAAACCAAATAAGCAGATTGTACAGAAGAAAGGATTTGGTTGAATCCATCAACTAGGATGAAACATGGCTCAGTATCTCAACTGAAGAGGTTGAAATCTGCTAACAGCGCTCATTATGCTCTCCCTCCTCCTCAATTATTTTGTTTGTGTTTTGAATAGGTAATAAATGCACCTGGTACAACATTCGAAAGGTACAAAAGGCAGTGAAAAGTAAGTCTTCCTTTTCCCTTGCCTCCCTTACAGTCCCCACTTCCCCTCTCCAGAGTTAACTAGTAACGAGCTGTTAGTAAGTTCCTTATGTCACTCTTCTTCCCTTCTTGAAGGACACGTCTCTTGGCCTTCACAGAACTCTCCTGGTTTTCCTCCTGCCCACTGCCCACTCCTTCTCTGCCTCCCTTTCCTGGTGTCTTCTCTGCTTGATCAAACATATTGTGGGGCTTCAATGCTTGGTCCTGGGACAACTCCTTTCTTATTTATCTATTCTCTTATTAGGTATCTCCAGCACAATAGTTTTAAGTACCACTTATAAGTTATAACTTACAACCTGTAAGTTAATGCCTTCCAAGTGTATTCAGTGAGTCCTAATTTCTTTGAATCTCAGACTTTATATCCACCTGCTTACTTGACATCTTCGATTCGATATCTAAGAAATGTCTCAAATTAGCCCGTACAAATGAAAGCCGAAAGCAAACATCTCTTCAGTTCCCATTTCACTTCTCCCAGCCCAAGTCTTTTCTTTCTTTCATCTTCTCAGTAAATGGCACTGCCATTCACTGATTGCTCAAGCTCCAAATTTAGATGTCATGCTTGATTCTTCTTCCCCCCTCACTTCTCTACAATCAATTCATAAAGAAAAGTCGCATTGACTCTATTTCTAAAAGCATGTCCTTTATGCATCTACTTCTGTTTCCACTCTTAGCACACCTGCCCTCAGCTTTCTCCTGGGCCGCCACAGTAACCTTTGAAGTGGTTTCCCTGCTTCCACTCTTGTCCCCTGTAGTCTGTCCAACACTCATTTATGTACATGTTGATTGCTGCTGACCAACGGTGGGTCAGGGACTGCCATGTAGTGGGTACTGGGATATTTTCACGAAGAGGGCCAAGTGGTTTGGGGGCATCTTCAGTCTGCAAGCCCCATCCAGAGCCTGGGACTGGCCACCCTGCTTTGGCCTTTCTAAAGAAACCCGGCCCAGCCATACTAGGACAGTCACAGATCAATCTAGGGTGTTCTGTTCCAGCTTCTTTCAGACTGTTTCCCACACCACTTCTCACTTTGCCCCTCTTGGTTTCCCAAGTTTCCAGGCTTTGACCCTGTTCCTTCCATGACCGCTGATGTTGACTCAGTTTGGACTCTCACTTGGCTTTTGCCTTGGCTGTTCTTGAGGACTTTCATTCTGGTGCCCTTTCATTAGCCCCATCACAGGGTGAAGGTCGCTGAATCTCTGCACCTTCCCTGGTCTCCACTGAGTGCGCCTCTCTACAATAAGGAGGGCTATTGGATGTGCACCTTATACAGGAAGGAGCACATCTTAACCACTGAGGTATGCCCACTGATCCTTCAGTGAAACCACTAGCAAGCAATATATGGAGTTTTTCTTTCCCCAAACTGTCCAAGAAGGAAATGGGCCCCTCCCGAGCATGGGCGCCCGCCCTTGGGGATCATTCACCACAAGATGGCTGTGGGTGATTCCTGTTGTGGGAAGTGGGGTTGATGAAATGACTTGTGCTAGTAGTTCTGGTCCTTAGGGTTTGATATCAAAGATGAGGGACATTTGCTTTGGATATCAGAGATTGTGGTCCCTGAGAAATGAGGGGTTTAGGCGTTCTCTGAAGGTACACTTGTTTTTTTTGTTTTGTTTTTTTTTTTGTATGCTCTTTTTGATCTTTTTGATATCCACTCTTTAACTCAGCAGATATTTTTTTTAGCATCTAGTGTTTGCCAGGTGGTGTGCTAGGCATTGGGGATGCAGAGATGCAAAAATCACAGGGAAATTCCAGGCAGAGGGTGATGGGACTTTCTGGCCTTCAAGGCCGCCTTCCAGCTTTCCTGGAACTCTGTGCCTTGGCTGGCTAGTCCCATGGCATGGAACTCAGTGGCATGTCAGAGCCTGGAACTTATGCAGAACAGGTTTAGAGATATGTCTCAGTCAGAATAAACACATAAGTGAACAGTGGCCTCTAGTTTATTGGGCGGCACAAGGTCCTCTAATTTCAGAAGATCAGAGAACCCCAATCAGGAGGCCCCTCCTCCCCTGAACTGCGCCACTTGCAGGGCTTAGAGATGCTGCAAACGCTGCAGAGAAGGAACTGGAGTCAATGGGACTGTCCGCTGAAGCTGTGTGGGTTAGGGGTGATGTCAACTGAGAAGGGCTAGGGGTCTGATCCAGAAGAGCAGGGAGATGTGGCTGTGCTCTAGCCTGAGCAGAAGGAGCAGATGTACCTGTGGGCCCCTTGAGACAGAGCAGTGGGAGGGGAGACAGAAGGCAGGCTTTGGCTTCATAAACGTCAGAGCTGCCCTCAGCTTGTTGATTCATTTCTTCATTGATTCCAGCAAACTCATCTGTGAGGTGTACACTTTATAGTAGGCTCTGTGTCTAGAGGAACAAAAATAAGACCAGGTTTCTATTCTCAAGTTGCGTACAGTCTGGAGGTTGCCTGGGAGGTAAAGAGTGGCCCTTCCCTGGGGGTATTAGAGCAGAGCATGGACAGGTGCGTGGAAAGGGCAGGTGGGGAATAAAGGAAATTAGACTCACATTGTGGGGGAGGGAGGAGGTTTGGATTGGAGGCCATTATGCAGCTTTAAATGCCCCAAGAGAGCCAGTGTTGTAAGGTCCTGAGGGTTTGGTGGGGGGTTGGGGTGGTTTGAAATGGCCTTGAGGGGCTGTTCAGGAATGCTCAGGAGTAGGGGTTAGATTGCAGGCGGAGCAGGCTGGGCCTGATTGTCAGAAGGGCCTGGTTTTGAATCCCAAACTTCAGCCAAGGCTGAGGATCACAGCAGATCCTGCAGATCCAGGAAGGACAGAGCTAATGCAGCAGGAAGGACCCAGAACTTAGACCTCAGTCACTGCCCTGGGAGCAGGAGGCCAGAGGAGGCGTCCCCCTCCCCCTCCCTCCCAGTGGCCATTTCTGTTCACCTTGCTTTAGCAGCACCCTTGCTGTCTCTCCCCTCCTATCACCCCTGCTTTTGTCTTAGGGTCTCCAGGATGAGTGTCAGTACCTCCTTCAGCCGCAGCTGATTGTCCGGCGTTTACTGGACGTTGCTGTGCTGGTGCCTGGCCGTCCCTCAGAGCAAACCCTCTCCCCCCACAATCGCTCAGCCCTATACAAGTAAGTTGAGTCCCCACCCCCCGAACCTAGCTCTTTCCTTCTTCCCTCCCTGACCTCAAATAGGGAACAGGATTTTCTTGGCCTCTAAGCCCATCTGCCTGTTCCTGCTGTCCCTCTGGCCACCCTGAACTGCTGGGCCACCCAGAGCCCCCGGGTGGGTTGGACTCCTGCCTCCCTCTCCCCCAGCACAGAGAGGAGGACCTGAAAAGGCCTCCCATTCTCGTGTCCCTAACTCCTCCTTGCCCCCTTCTTCCTAGTGTTTCCCTCCTTCTCGTGTCCCTCTCACCTTTCTTACCCCCAAACTCTCCTCTGCCCAGGGTCTTTGTGCCCAGCTTCACTTACAGGGTTTCAGCACAGTTGGTGTGTGTGGGGGGCCGAGGGGCATCCGCCTGCCCCCTGACACTTCGCCTACGTCCCAAGGCCCCACCCCTGCACAACTCAAGCTCTGTGGCATGTGGAGGTGCCTCGGTATGCCAGCTGGAGCTAGCACTGCCCCCTTGGGGGCGCTGGGTCTACGTGCGGGTGGAGACGAACCGTGGCTCTGGCAGGACCATCCGCTTCCAGCTGTGCGTGCGGTTGCAAGGTCAGAAGCCCACATCTGCCCCAGCCACCCAGCTTGTGTTGACATCTGTGACTGGGAAGAGGCATGCATGTTGGCCGTGACCATTGCCCCTCTGCCACGTCCCTACAATCTCCCTGACCCCACCCAGGCTCCTTCACACTCCCTGAAGCCCTTCCACTTGGAGCTTGAAGTCATTGGAAAGCCTTCAGATCATTCTCCCACCACTTGGGGCTCACGAAGGGACCTGATTACTCTCCTTAATTTAATCTCTCTTTCAGTTTCCTGAGTAGGCAGGAACAGCTAGGACCTCTGGGACACTGGCCTTGCAAAAGCCCATGCAAGTCAGTGAGGGGGCAGTCATCTGTTTCAACATGTCCTTTGGGAGGGAGAGATGACCTTGATTCCCTCCAACATGACATGCTATTAGCTGTGACCAGTAGGAAATCCCGGGGCCCTATCCTGTGACCCTGGATGCCCCATACTCCCAAGGGACATTTGATGCTAGTTCTCACCCCTCCCACCCTTTGCTAAATCCTGTCTGGCTCAGATCTGGTTTGTGGTGGGGCTGAAGGGCTGTGAGGGTGGCAGGCCTCAGCTCTGATTTCCTTTACTCCACAGAATGCCCGAAGCCCAACCTGTCTCGTGCCCTGGCCCCTGGAGCTGCCATGAACATGCCCCAGTCACTGGGCAACCAACCACTGCCCCTAGAGCCACCATCCCTTGGTGCCCTCGTGGAAGGGCCTGGGGCCACATCTCCACCTGAGCACTGCTGGCCAGTGCGCCCGACTCTGCGCAATGAGCTGGACACCTTCTCCGTCCACTTCTACATCTTCTTTGGCCCCAGCGTGGCCCTCCCCCCTGAGCGCCCTGCTGTGTTTGGCCTGAGGCTGCTGCCGGTGCTGGACAGTGGAGGTGTCCTTAGCCTGGAGCTCCATCTCAATGCGGTACTTTGTGGAGAGGGGGAGGTTGCCCCTGTGGGGGAACTTGAAAAAGAGAGTGACAGGTGTGGAAGACTATGCAGGTTGCTTTCACCCAACTTTAAGATTAGAGACCATGTCAGCCCAATTCTGGTCAACAAACATGCCCTGGGCAATTCAGAATGGTCCAGATTTCCCCAGTTTTGTAGCTGAACCGCCCACTGAACAAGGGCCTCTCTCTATGGCAGGTGTTCACTTTTCTTGCTTATCTCCTGTGATGGGGAGTTCACCTACAGAAGCCATGTTTAGACAGCTCCCGTTGCTAATGGCAGTCTTGACATTCCATGCAAACCTACCTCTGTGGATTTTTATGATCTGATCTTTGTTTTGCCCCAGAAGCTATATTTCAGTGAATCTATCCCAGTCCTTTAAAAAAAAAGTTAATAGACTTGATTTTTTCAGAGCAGTGTTATAGAAAAACTGAGTGGAAAGTACAGAGAGTTTCCGTGTCCCCCCTCTTACCCCACACAGTCTCCCCAATTATTCACATCTTGTATTAGTGTGGTGCATTTGTTATATCCCTGGCCTATTTTAGCAGCCCTTCAGATGCCCCTCAACCTTCTCAAAGCTGAAAAATATCAGCATCTTAGAGCTTTCCCCATCCTCTGCTGTCTCCTTTGGTCAAACATCTGGTCAGCATGTCTCTGAAATAAATGGTCTGAAGTGGTCTGACCATGGTGTGTGTGCATTATATCACCTCTTTCTGCTCCTGCATCACACCGCTCACCTGCAGTTTGGGGTGAATAAAGATCTCTGGGTCTTTTTCCTGTCCTTCCTTTTTACTTTCTTCCAAAACAATTTTATTCATTTACTTTTTAATTATAGAAATAACAGAATCACATGTAAAGCTTTGGAAAATAGAGGAAGACATCCCCATAAAACAGCTGCTTAGTCTTTGGTGTGTATCTTCCCAGTCCCTTTCCATATTAACTTCTTATGTATCTAATTGTAACCAAGGGGCATACATATTTTGTGCCCTGCGCCTGGTTCATGTGACCTGCTGCCAATTCCCAGCTCATATTTTTGTAGTGAACTTTTTAACCCCCATGGAAGAATTTATGTTCATCTTTGAGGCATTGCCTAAAGACACTGGTTTGGGTCTTGGGCTTTCTCCACTATGGTAATTCACATACTTGAAAAGCCAGCCTTCTGTACCTCTTAGTCATTATTTTCAGCATTGGGTAAGATTGGGCTGAGGGCAGAGTCCTGTGTCAGGCCATTAGCAACTCTCTTAGGTTAGCATTGATCCAGTAGGATCCCTCAGCCAGGGATCCTTTTAATTCTACTATCCCCCAGCTCTGGGGCAGGGACCATTTTCCTATGCACCGACCTGAGATCTGGTCTATGGCTCGATGTGGTCTTTTATGGTACATGGCTCAGAACTTTCAAGTGCTCCTGCTGGTCAGGACAAAGCTGATTCTTCAACTTGAAGATGCTCCTTATTTTTATACCCAAATTCTGTTTGACTCTGTTCTGGCTAAACACTGTATGTTGTGTTTGCTATTGCCATGCCTTTGGGCAATGACAGTGAAGTCTTGGTTTGACCTTGATGCTGTAGAGCCCATATCCGAGACCAGCCGCACCCATACTTGTTCTTCCTCAGTATCCTGAGAGTAGAGGCCCAGTCCTGGGCAGCCCCTTACCCTGTCCCTCTCTGCATTCTTGTCCATTTACTCTAATGGGCATCTATCTGCTTACATTCTACCTATCTGCATGCTATGACCCTTGCTACACACCACAGATAGCTGTTGTATTTATTCTGAAAGGAATCTTGGCACATCTACTCTGATCTTTCCAAGTATTTTGTCTTTTCCCCCCTTGGATCAAGAACTGGTCATTTGGACCAGAGAACTGTATACTTAAAGAACATTTATATCTTTGGCTCCCTGCCCCCCGAGAAAGACTTTTATTGAACAATATTTTGGCATATTGCCCAGAGCTTGCGTGGAGGAAAGCTGTGAGCAAGTTGTATGAAATTCAGTCTTGCTGTTGAGGACAGGATGCATAACAGCACACATGCTTCTTTGATGAGGACTTACCTGAGAACTTCTGGATGCTGTACTTCTGTGCCTCTGATTAACCTTTATCTGATGAACTTACAAATCTGATCACTCATCATGTTTCCTTCTTTGCTTTGGTTGCTTGGAAGTCAGCATCAAATCTATGGCCCACATTTAGGAGCAAATTTTATTGTTCTATCCTGAGTTTTCAATTTCCCTCATGCATTTATTTTATCTTATATGTATTTAATAAGCTGCCTCAAATCCTTCTGGAGGTGAGCTTATGGCAACCTGCTACCTTTATTCCTTTAGACAACCCTTTACATTTACTCCTATGGATATCCGGTTTCTTTAAATCCCAGCCAGGCTGCTACATTTAATCCCTCAGGCATTCTATTACCACCGCGAGTACCTGATCATTTCACCGGAGGAAGAGTACATTTCTTTACATGCCTCCTGCCCTCAGTCTCCGGTGAAGAGGTGAAGATGATTGAAAACCTTACAGTTACCTTTGTTCACAACTAGTTTCTATATCCAGCAACAGCACCTCTTCCCTTCCCCGCAACAAGCTAGATAAGATTGGAAAAAGGGGGTCTTCTCTTTAGCCCGAACAGTTTAAAAATTCTGCCCAAAGGATTCAGAATTGGGCCTTGCCTTTTCACCAGTCTTTGAGGCATCTCGGATGTGGGGGATTTGGTGTTTGCCAAGGTTCTGTGTTCTAAAAAGGGAGGAGAGATTGGCTTTGGTGTTGAGCACCTGCAGGTGTTGAGGTCCCTGGAGGAGTTTGGAGTCTGGGGTGGTGGTGGTGGTAGGACCTGGTGGGTGGGACAGCTTCATCTTCACTCCGCCCTCCCCAGAGCTCCCTGCGCCAGGAAAATGTGACCGTGTTTGGATGCCTGACTCACGAGGTGCCTTTGAGCCTGGGGGATGCAGCAGTGACTTGTTCCAAAGGTTTTTTTAAGCGGGCGGGCGCAGGTGAGTGAGGATTCTTTACCTTTCTCTCCTGGCCCCTGACCCCTCTGCCCCCAGAGTCCCTTGCTGGCTTCCTCCTCTCGGTCAGCGCCACATCCAGAGTGGCCAGGCTGCGAATCCCGTTCCCACAGACCGGGACGTGGTTCCTGACCCTCCGCTCCCTGTGC